TCACATTGAAGGCGTTAAAATATCAGCCGTCGTATACAATAATAATAATACTCTACAATTTTTTCTTTAAACATGCCGACTTTCTATGTTTTATTTATTCATTTATTAATCACTATTAATACACTATTATAAAAATACATACCTCCTCTATTATATATATATAGATAAAGTTAATCGTTAAGATAACACCATTGACAATAAGCCACAACAAATATAAACTCTTTTCTTTTCAATAATTTATCCTTGGTTCTCATGGGGAGTAAACCTAACATTTTGGGAAGTTTTACAAATAGGATATATCTTCAATGAGAAAGTAACTTTATATATTTGTATTATTAACTAAATGATTGTTACAAATGCCATGACAAAGACACAACAAACATAGATTGAATTTAATATATAGATAAATTAAATAAACCATCTGTTTAACATTAAATGCAAAGTCAATGTTTATCCACAAATCTAGGGAATTAAAACGCGTTGTTTTAAGATTGGCTGGGGATAAAAAGTAAACAGGGCACAAGCACATTATATATATTATATACAACTGTTGGACCAAACGATTTTGGACCAAATGAAATACTCCCGCAGATAATTAGGTAATGCATAAATACGGAATCAAATCGTACGTATAGATAATAAATAATTCTAAAAACTGTATTTCTATAGGTCACTCAATTTAGGAGTTATTACTTGACTAGTCGAACTGATTCGAAGATTTTTCCAACTAATGCTACTGTGTGATTTATGCTACACAAAATAATAAATGTACATAATATTATAATTGTTTCGACTCTTAAAAACATAGACTTTTTGTTAGACAGCATTATTTTTGATAGCACATTTACAAATGCCTATGTCAATATTTTATCCTATACGGGATTGAACCATCAACCTTAAGATTGAAGGTTTGGCCCTATATCCACTCTGCTTCCCAGACATTTATCGAACTATATACCCAGGTATATGGACTCTGGAGGTATATAACTTAAATTATGGACCTATAGACCTACCAGTCAGACATTATGATTTTTTTTTTTAAATCCCACCTTCACATCCATGGACTATGGGTTTGGTCCGAAACTGTTCTCATACATTACTTTAGATTTGTATTAAATCATGACGGCAATATCACATGGATAAAACTAGCGATTTGTAGGATTTTAACCCAGGACTTCAAGCTCCAAAGGCCCGCGCTCTACTAGTATAACATTTCACACACCACTATCCTGATAATCATACTACTTCACTAAAAATGAGAGCAAATAGTCAAACAGCTAAATACGATAAGAAATGGTTAAAATATTTCCGTCTAATAACTATTAACGTACCAACAAAAGTGTTTGTTAAATGTGTAAATAATATATCCAAGTGTCAAAATTAAACATCAAACTACTTTTTCTGATTCTCTCCCCCCCAGGGACGTAATGTAATTCCAGAATTTCCAACCCAGTGACTTCATCTTCTAACTGGAGATATTTGTATGACATCTGTCAAATGATGTAAGACCAAGTGAGAAATTTTACCAACTGAGATGATTAGTTGTTCAATTCTCTTCCCTTCTGTTGAGCTCAAATAAATAGGAATAATAATTTCGCAACAGTAGTTTAAATAATATGTCATTTAAACGCATAGAGGTTTATTTCATCGAGAAAAAGACCGTGAAACAGTAAACAGACTATATGAATCCAATAGCTTCTAATATAAACATTAAAACCTTTCAAGCCTTTATGCAAAGTAATTTATATGGAAATAACCTAAACTCATCTAGCCAACCATTGACTACTACAAATAGAACTGAACAATTAGTGGCTTGTGGTTGTAGGTATTTGTATTACCGTATTACATTATTACACATATTCTGACAATTAGTGGTAACCGTTCTGACACATAATGGGCAATTTCCATTTCCTACATAATTTATATGAATCCACAGTTTAAGGTGAGATCCAGGTAATCAATTACAGTAATATGTATGGCTCATATCTAATAAGTTTTCCTTAAAGATAGTTATGTAAGTTTGGTAAACTTCGAGCCTGAAACTCCAGGTCAGTAACCTTACACTTAAGCAGTAACTAGCCATGTTCTATTGATGAAGGTAACATTCTGTTTTTGAACGACATATTTTTAGGCGAGGTGTTAGTATTCACGTAGATTATTGTGGGCTTCACTCACCTTTATTTTTGGCTGTGATGTCCGGGACTCGTCAAAACACACATAAACACAAATATATAAAACACTAAATCGTCCACGGCATCAAAAGTCCGACGTTTCGCGGAACTCAAAAACACGTTCCGCTTCTTCAGGGTAGAAATATACTATTTTTAACCCACACGGGGGTCGAACGCCTAACTACGACTGATTTTGTTTTTTTATATATGTGTGTTTATGTGTGTTTTGACGAGTCCCGGACATCACAGACGAAAATAAAGGTGAGTTAAGCCCACCATAATCTACGTGAAGGTAACATTGTCAAAAATAAGCAAACTTGTTATTATGTAATTCATAGTTTGGTTCTGGTTTAGTAATTATTCCCTAGTTATTTTCAAAATGTTTCATATACACATTTTTTAAACAATTTTTAATACACCTTTTACCATAAGTGTAAATGTAACAAAATATAATTTTTAAATAAAAATCGTATTATTTTAGAAATGTTATCCAACGTTTGCATAATTTAAATATAGGTATGAGAAAACTTACTCTATGAATGTACAATAATTTAGCATTGAAAACATTACTGTAGTTGTATTATACAATAATTTTATTTTACTTATTGCCTTAAATGCGTTCAACTCTGTAAAAAGATTTCCATCAAGTAAATCTCATATCTGTTTAAGAAGTAATTTGCACTTTAATACAACAACATTATCTGCTGTTGACGTAGCCTTATCTGTCAGGATCGATGTAAAAGTTAAATTGAGTTTTGTAATCACAAGTTTGCTTTGAGCTTGAGAAGCTAGAAAGCCAAAACTCCGTTAATTGGTTTGATGATGAGTCAAAACGTGAGTTTCCAGTAAGTGGCAGATTTGTATATCTGCTGTTGTCATTGGTTCAGAAATTAGTGAAAATAGAACAAAACCTGCTCGTTATAAAACAAACAAGAAAACTGTAAATTATAGGATACCTCAAAAACAGATTTCAGAGAACATATCTATATGTAAATATAAACATAAACTTGTAAGTTATAATTGTGCAGATCAAGCCAAGCTCCTAGAGATCGCTCCTTTTACAAACAATGTAATTTAAGCACTCAATAACGGCTGAACATATTGAGGCCTAACTTACCAGGGGGTTATTTCAACAACTATTGAACGTGTTACTAAACAGGCCAATTTCAATTTTATGATAGTATTTATCTTATAATACAATATCTTAATACAGTACAATCATGATATACAGGCATATAGCTTGGTGTAGATTCAATGGTCACACAATATCACTCTTGAGGGCTGTCCGTGAATGAAGTCTGAAGTGAGCTTATTTCCTAATCAAATGAGTTAGTTCAAACCCGAGGCTTAAGTCAGGTGCTTACTACATCCAACACTATTCTAGTTGGTTCCAACCTTTTAGGATTATTAGTCTGGTCATAGTTATTAAAACACTTCGTTAAAGAAAATTGACGCTGTCACCAAGAATTAATCGCAATCTGTGATTACATTTCTGGGGTTTCAGTCAACCAATATTGACATCCATCACCAGTTGGCGAATTTAGTAATGCTTTTGGGAGTGATAAATTTTGCAAGATCTGGGGGGAAGTTAGGAGGTGGTCTAAAACATTTGCACGATATTTTCTTTGGTGTAGGTCAAGTGCTGCTATTCTCCAGACACATTTTTCCAAGGGGAATTTTTTATGCAGATCATGGTGTGAAAAAAGGAGATTTCGATATAGAGAGGACGGCTCTATAAGAATATCAAGGACTACTCAGCCCTGAAACACCCCAATCAAGGTTTCCTTGAATACAACCACTGTCACGATGGAAACTGCAACACCCGATGCCAACCCAAATGTGGAAATAGATACAGGTTTCTACGTACTCCTCAAGCCACTAGTGCACATTTGTTACGTCGAATGACTGCTCTGCAATGCAGTAACGTAAACTGTCAACTGGCAAAAGTTATCACTTGGGATTACCCCCTCCTTACAGAAACATAACCAAAGAGCACAATTCATACTTGGCCGGAGCGTCAATTTTCATTCAAAATGTGTTTTGATACTTTGGCCAAAGATGTGGAGATGGGAACCAGCTAGAATATAGGCAAATGAAGTAGGAAAAAGGACTTTTGTCTGAGATGCAAACTAGCTTCCTTAGTTGGGACATATAGACCTCAATTTATCTACAAACCTCATATGAACCCTGAATGTCCTGTTTGACAAACACTGTTTGGTGGGATGTATCTTGAGAAAGAACATTCGTGTTCTACGTAAATCGTATACAAATTATATTAAACTTTCATTTTTGGCAGTGAATAGATCAGAACATTTGCAAAGCTATGTCATTGATAGAGGGTTTTGATAATACCAGGACCTAACTAAAATGCTAACAAATAAAATTAGAAAACTGTGTAGAAGACGATTATTTACAAATACATTATTACATTTACTCAAAACCATCCACTCAAGGTATTAGTTCTCATTTTAATGAATGTTTATATCAAACAGATAAACATTCTGTTTGATATAACAACATTGCAAACAAAAATGCAAACAATGTCAAATATAATTGATTAGGAATGCTAATTGATAAAAAATCATTTGCAAAAAACAGCTATGTTATCACCATACTAAAACATATGAATTCAAAAGGAATACACTGTTATAATAGTAACATTATATAGCATTATCAAAAATTACCTAAATATATTTTCAGCACGTACTGTAAAACCGATTTGTTTCCATAATGATTTGATGTGGGTTCAATTGATGAATTATTGGAGTTTCAGCTTAGCCACAAATATTCCCATCTGATATAAAGATTATTAGTAGATCGACCAGATAGCACACGTCAGATATGTTTATGAAGTGTTAATCTCTCTCAACAATTATGTGTGTTTTGAAATAATTAGTGTAACATGAAATATATTTTAGTTATTATTTTGGCATCCATGTGTGAGCTTGGAATACATTCTTTGAACAAGGTAATTGTATTGATGAGTTATTTACGTTATGTGTTAAGTGGTTTATAATATTTTATCACAGTTTTGTACTTTTCAGTAGCAAAGTTTTACGAGTAAAGTATGAGAAAAAAATTACAAATGTTTGATACACTTATATTTATGGTTCCATTAGTTGTTAAGCTATTCTTTGACGCGTTCACTGTAATTGCCTTTGAAAATTCTTCTTAAGTATTAAAACGAGTCGCTAACATTTTAATTTATGTATGTCAAATTTTGTAACGCATTTTAAATTGTATGTAATGACTAATATTCAATTAAAGAATTTGCCTTGAATTTGTCTTATTAGCTACACTCTAGAAAATATAATAATTAAATCTAATAAGCAATGTTTGACGATATTTCATATTTAAATTAGGTTATATAAATTATTACTTAAATTGCATCATAATTTTCTAGTAAAAGTTTTTTCTGACATCTTCAGAATTGATATTATTATTCGAGATAATAAATAACCTATGTTCTACAGGATCAACACGCTAAACACAAACTTCCAATGGATACCACAAACTTTGACGAATTGGCCAATTCTAAGACATTTATTGACAAAACTCTGATGATAAAAGAAGTTTTCAAGTCACCTCATCACACAAACTTAATTTTAGCTCCAAGAAAGTTTGGTAAAACCAGTAATATGAACATGATCAAGCGGTTTTGTGAAATAGAAGTTGACGAGAATGGTAATTCTATAGATAAAACACTGGCCTCAAGCTATAACCTGTTTAAGAGCAAAAACTTAAAAATATTCAGAGATGAAGCATTTGTAAAAGATCATTTTTCTTCGTATGCAGTCCTGCATCTAGACTACAGCACTCTTCAGAACATTGACTCGTACGATCAGCTGATGGAGATGCTCATAGTTTTAATAAGCAAGACATATTCAGAGCACAAATACCTGTTGAACAATGAATCGCTGTGGGATGGATTTGAAAAGGGACTTTTCCAGAGCTACGTAAGTGCTCAAGAAAACCACAAAGATCACAACACTCACATTCTCACAAGTTTGAAATGGCTTTGTGAAATATTACATAAACACTTTGGGAAAAAGGTTCTCGTGCTTATTGACGAATTTGACGCCTATGTGTACAGTGCGATATTCAATGATAGCAAGGGGATTGATAAGATAATGAAGTTGATGATTGAAATTGATGGATATTTGTTAAAACCTAATGATCACATAACTAAAGTCCTACTTACAGGGACATTGAAAATTTTTAGAGAGGACATGGATGAGGATATACGGACTTATCATTTCTTAGAGAACCATCCTTTTAGTCCATACTACGGTGTAACCAGAAATGACTTAGACAACGTACTGTCCAAACTAGTTGGCAACTGTGGTGAGAAATATAAACTTCTAAATTTCATAATGAGCTATTACGGAAACTACAAGATCTACAGTGAAGACGATACAGTCACAGAGATCTTTAATATGTGGCCTGCAATAAATTATGCTATTACTGGAGCACAGCCGGTTGATTATTTTGTGGGAGAACACCTGCTGCCTGGGTTCAAAAAAATATTCAGAGCTCAGCAAATCAAAGAAGAACTTCAAGCGCTTATCTTAGGAGAAGCAAGACCTGTTGAACGGTTTGCTGCCTTTAAAGAAGATGACATCCGCACACTTAACTACATCACGAAATCATACATTTGTCCCCCTTCGGGTGATAAGGTGTTTCTAAGGCTGCTCTACAGTTTTGGATATTTGACTCAAGTAAAGAATGACGAAGGGATGCTGCTAGAAGAGTTTAGAGTTCCAAACAATGAAACGGAAAGTGAGTTGATGAGGTATACTCCGGTGTGAACAAATAACTGTATTGAGCTACATTGGACCTTGGGTACTGTGATATTAGGAGGATAAAACTAATTGTAATATCATTAATTTTATATCTTATATGATACTGAAAACGAGATTTAAAAAACACAAGGCTTTCAATCTCTTAATAAAAAAATAAGCTTAGTAAAAAAGAAAAATAGAAGATTCATAACACTTTTAATATTATAACACTTTATGATATTAAATTGAATTTAATTTAAACAAATCCTAAATAAAAAATTCCTATAACAAATCATAATTTGTATCTAACGTATCATTACTTTCAAAAATCAAATTGTAATAGCCCTACTTGAATTTTAAATTAGTAAAGTAAACATGGCAAGCCCATGAAAAATGTAAAATAAGTTAATATTCACTTCAGAAAAGCATATGTAACGATTTGATTAGTGGTTAAAGGGAAGGACACGGTCGAATTATCTTCAATATTTGAAGTATTTGGATAATCATTCCTGAAACTATTTTAATGGTCTATCATACAACATGAAACTGTTGTTGGATCTTGCACAAGAGCACATCTGAAGGTTTAAACGTGTCATGGTGGAAGAAAAGTTTCAATACGGTTAAATATTTCAAAAAGATCTAAAGATAGAGCTTTAAAACTTGGTACACAGTTACTGGTCATTACTATCATTTTATCATATGACTCAGTGATACACTAGGGGTCAGAAGAAAATGTTATCATAGGTTGACATCAAGTTAAAGGTCTTTACTAGTAGAATACAATGCCGAGAACTTAAACTAAAACGGCAAACCGAGTCAAAAATTGCAGCCGTTCAAATATTTCTTGCATCTGCTATTTTGAATCTTTGAACGGCTGCCATTTTTTTTACTCAGTAGTTGTTTTGAATTAAAAATTGTGTCTTTATATTCTAGTAATGTCCAATATAAAATAGGTTACGTACCTTTACGTCGTCAATCCTAGGTTAGTCTTTTTAGCGACTAGTTTCGAAACTGACGTTTCATTTTCAAGCCTTGTCAAACATAAAATTACTTGAACATAATGTCGTCGTCAAAGTACACAAATATAACATTTAACACGCACAAATACATTAATATACAGAAAGACGCGCGGCCGGCCATTACACGCACGACGGACACGACTCAAATGAGTTGAGACTTGAGTTGAGTCGTGTCCGTCGTGCGTGTAATGGCCGGCCGCGCGTCTTTCTGTATATTAATGTATTTGTGCGTGTTAAATGTTATATTTGTGTACTTTGACGACGACATTATGTTCAAGTAATTTTATGTTTGACAAGGCTTGAAAATGAAACGTCAGTTTCGAAACTAGTCGCTAAAAAGACTAACCTAGGATTGACGACGTAAAGGTACGTAACCTATTTTATATTGTCTAAAATCAATCCTGGAGGCAATGCTGAATAAAATAGTAATGTCCGTTTGAGTTCGGAATGTGGCATTTTATTTTACTAACAAAAACCTTTAATTTGATGTGCATATCAACCAATGCACACGTGTATGGTTTTCTTCCAATATCTAGCGGCCACCCATCTGGATTTATCGTTAATAGAAATGCAAATTTAATGCATCTTTGAATAGCTGCCATTTTTTAAACGGTTGTCCGTTTGAGTTTTGATTTGCGGCATTGTATTTTATTAACGAAGAGATTTAATTTTATGTGACTATCAACCTATGCTTACTTTTAAGATTTTCTTCTGACTCCAAGCGGGCCGTACCCTTGAAGAGGTAGCGCATCTTTGAATAATGTGTCAAAAGGATCTTAATGCCTGGTAACTGTGTAATGTGTACCAAGTTTTAAAGCTCTCTATATATATTCTTTTTGTAATATTTAACCGTCCCGGGACTTTTTTCCACACTCTATTAGTACAAAGATAAGTGACATGTTGTAACATTGTTAAATAATCACGTACAAGCTAGTAATTTCTACTAGAGAATTACAGATTTTCCCGAAACCATCCTATTAGGCTACTTATTTTAATTATTTTAAGATGAGTGAATATTCGTATGAAATTATTAAAACGAATGCGTTGTTGATACTAAGATCAACTGGTTCTCTAACCATGTTTAAAAGTGCAATGATCGATACAGCTAGTTCCAGTTTCCAATAATTACAAATATTCTTCTTTTCTCAGGATCGAACCGAAATCTTCAGATTGCTAGGCAGACACTCGGTTCCAAAATTATAAATAATATTCTAAGTACAGTCTAATGTTTCAAAATGCAAACGATAACTTTAAAAATATTGAATAACCATCAGTCATTATAAAATCAGGTCATTATGAGTAAGCTTAAAAGAAACTCAATGAGCTTCAACTATGTTAACCTAAGTTAAGGATTTTATAGCTTCAAGAAATCATTTTCTACAATTTAGCAAAACAAAAGGGGTGTTGTAACAAAAGTTGCATTTCATTTTTACTTGTGGTTTTTACAATGGGTCTTTGTTTAGAAACATCCTTTAGTCTGAAGATGGCTTTGATGTAAAAAGTTTCTACATAAATAAACCTGAGATGTAACTGTTAAACAAGAAACATTTTCTGGTGATAAAATGCTAATTTTAGAAGTTTGCTGAATCTTGGTTGCTTACAGAGTATTTCAAAATCATTTAAAACTTACTTAATATTTTTTTTATTAACAGCCACAGGGTGTTTTGTTTCAACGTGCAACCCAAATTAAAAGTACTGTGAGACACATTTTAATGACAAAACAACCTTAGATCTTGGTATCCCTGTTTTCTTTACTTCATTTCAGATCGTGTGGTGTGTTTTTTGCATGGTTATCTATCAAGTTTTAGGTTTCAAGGTTTAGAGTTATTGAGAATATATTGTAAATAAAAACAACATTCCAAATATTGAAGAGTTATAAGTGTTGAATGTAGATCATTGGTGGTATTTTCATTCTGCATAGTGACCTAGGATCACTGATTGAAATAACAGGTCATAGAAACCATTTAATTCTTTTATGACAATTAAGCTTTGAAACGACGTTTCCATGTGTGATTCCAGTTCCTAATAAATCAACTATTGTTGACATGTACAAATTTAAGGGAACCAAACCGAAATAAAAAATACCCCCGTCACAGAAAATCTGCAGACTAGGATACATTCCAATTGTCTGATATGATTTTCACCTAAATTTTGAGATTTAGGATTTCCTTAAATTCGGATTTGGTTTCCTTAAATTTGTATATATCGCTGATAGTGTATTTATTAGTTTGATTTATAGTTACTTTATATGGTTCGAGGCTTATAGTTTTTTTTTTTTTTTTTAGTGTTGCTATAACTTTTTTAAGATGGAGTATCATTGTAGATTGTACTTACATTATTATAAAATATATATGATATATGTGATACAAACGTGTCTATAAAAAATATAAATTTTAATGTTTTGATAAAAGTCACTCCAGAAAGACAGACTGCACACATTAGTCTCACATATACATTTTAAATATGTTTTCCTGAAGATTGGCTAAAGACAAACCACTACTATTTATTGGAGATTATCCTTAATGTGGATCTATTCAATACATCCATATTTCCTGGATAGCGGAGTAGTTATATTGCTCAACCCAAACATCTGATGTTACGTGATTGGATACTAAGAAATATTATTTCTGGACCTAGATGTAGCTTGTATTGGGTTAACAATTATTCACCGCATGATTACAGGTATAGTATTACGTTTTCAGGTCAACATAAACAAGACAAAGGATTTGGAATTTTCTTTTGCAAAACGTAAATGATTCCAATGGCTTTAAAACCCTAACGCAAATCAAATAATTAGTTTTCAGCTGAATTTTCGGGCTGCAATTAATACGAGTATAAAAAAATGCCAAACTGTATTCAAAGTACCAATAAAGATAAACAATACTGTTGCTATGCAGCTTCGAGTGATATACAAATCTATCTATATATTAATAGGCAAGCATGTTTCTTTAAAACCTTTTTTCTCAGCTCGTGTGCATCGCAGGGAAAATCTACGCATACTGTTGGAAAGATATTTTCCTGTAGATGTGCAGAATGCCTTTAAAAGTTAAAATAGGCTAACAAATAAGCACAAAAAATTAATTTGAAAACTTCAAAAAATTAACATGGACCATATGGGTTGCCATGATGGTGACGAAATAACAACAAAATGTAAACAGAAAATCAAAACAAATGGAAGAAATTCCAATCACATGTTTTATTTACAGTGTGGGGAGAAAATAGAGAAGTCTGTACATTAATTATTTTTGGTCGAGTTTCGACCACAGGGCGATCACTAGTATTGTTTTAATTACTGAAATATAATTAAGCTGTTTGAAATTCAGATAAGTGTAAATGTATATTCATCTTAATAAAGTAAATTTTCACTGCATCGTCACCTGTGTATTCAACCTTTGATAATATTCCAAATAGATTAGAAAGGAGAAATGCATGTGTGACGCAGTTATTACTTAATATTCCACATTATTATACGTAAAATAATGCATAGCAAAGCATATACTTTGCTTACCGTTGGTGATAATTTGTGATTACATTTTCCATATACATTAATACTTTGACATTTGTTATGTGTGTACACGAAACAATTTACACAATAAACAATTTGTATTTGTGTGCGTTCAAAGAATAGGTAACAATTATTTTAAAAATTTAAATAAATTTCTCTATTGATATTTTAAAAACTTACACAGTGTAAATACTTATTACTTAGTACACCACTAGAAAATAAAAGAAAGAAATAAACTTTGGCAGCTTGTGCTACTTCTGAAAAAAACATTATTACATTAGTTTTTATAGCGTACACTAAATATAGTCTACTTTTAAATTACTTATTTTTCAACGTCAAACAGGGTGCAGGACAACCCATTTTTCACAACCCTATAATATTTTATAAAACAATGACCAAACCGATTTGAATGTAAAATCAGGACAAAAATAAAGAAGAGGTGCTCTTAAAACCATTGCAATTGTCAAAAAGATCATTGCAACGAATAAAACTGTAATAATTCGAAAAGGAAATCACATAATTTACCACTATGTTGGGGTTAACGATTTCGCAAGACTATCCTTCAGAGAGACATGTAATACATCAATGTCAACCTCTAAAGGACCTCACCTTTGTT